ACTACAGTTTAATAGTTATTAGAAACAATTAAATTTGAATATGTTAAATAAAAATATCTAAAACATAATCAAATGGTGATTTTTTTTGTCTTACAAATGCGATATAAGAATGTTACCATAATCAAAAATGGTTTAGTGGCCAAATTCGATGGCAAATTGCGAAAAGAAAAAAAAACATATTACCTACTCCTATATGATAAGTCATTTTCAAACGTGTAAAAACATAATTATTATATTTTATATGTTACGAGTTGGCACTTTAGTGTATAAACCAATATAAAAACTAAATATATTATCTTGATAAGTTTTGAAGTATAATTTTAATTTGAAAATGTCTTTATGTCTTTACTAAAATGAAAATAAAAATAATTATCAGAAAATAATTGCACTCTATTGAATATGATTTTGTAAAAATAAATTTTCATTTTGGAAATGTGTCACGAGAGATGCTTTTTTGAGTTATTTAAATAACTATTCCGCAATTTTTTTTCTCTTTCTCTCCGAACTAATAACCCTTTTTAAAATTTAATGATTTAAATTTTTGACAAAATACTGTACATATCAATGAATTAAAATTTTTTCATATTTTTAAGCTCATCTGACTAAATTTTAAAAACAAAAAAACATTATATGAAATTTTTGGGGGAAAACTTATTGGACATGCCGAACATTTTGAAGAGAATTCAAGTGTTCGTTCATAAACTATGAGTCACTTTGGTGAGCACGAAAGAAAATAAATTGAAAAATGTTGTGTGGAAGAAAAAAAATGAAATTATGACTCGACATTTTTGATAATAGGCAATTAAAGAAACATTAAAACTGAACTAAAATTTTAATTTAATAGCAACATGTAATTGAGAATCTCGTGTTGAAGCAATAATTTTTTCAACAGAACTAAATAACAGATTTTAAAGCCCATTGAAATATTTTATTAAAACTATATCGTTTGGTAAGAAAAAATTTTTGTTAATAACTGAAAAGAAGTTAAATTTGGTAATTTCAAAAGTCGAACAATTTTTTCTAAAAATGTTCTACTTTAATATGGAAATTCTATTTTATTTCTTATTCTGATAAGTCAACGTCTGACATATCAGTAATATTTTTGACACTTAAACTGTCTCAATTAAAAAATTTTTTTGAAAAGTTCTACTAAAAATCGTTTTTATACTAAATCAGAAAAAAAAAATCAAATTAATAAATGATTGAAAGAATTCGAATTGGAATTTTTGAAAATTGTAACTTTAAATATACATTCCTGAAAAGGGCAGTATTTAGTATTATCTTAAGTTATACAAGTAAATTATTCTTATCGATGTAACACCTTTACTTCGGCATATCACTTAAGTTTAAGTTAATATATATCGACGAAAAATATCCGAACTCAATTAGTGCTCCAATAATTGCTTAAGTACTCTATTAGAAATTCTAATGGCTTAGAAGGGGAAAGCTTAATTGACGAATAACTCTGTATTTATGTTTACGATATTATTAATATATCTCCATTTAATGTATTATTTACAATGTTCATAGTGGAATGTATCTTATTTCGTGTACCCTAATACCTATTTCCATTACTAATTATAATTTTGTCACCGTTAAATAACTATAAGTTAATTGTATAAAAATTCTAAAATTTTTTATTGTTAACAGCTATATTATTTTTGCAGCATAATTTAATAATCTCTCTATTTTTTAAAAAAAATTTGAAAAAAAATTTTTGAAAAAGTTTTAAAATAAAATTTTTTTATGCATAAGGTATAAGTTAATAAAAATGGATCCAAAAAGGTTTAATTTAACTGACGAAAAGTGACCAAAGAACGATTTGCCAAGGAAATTTCCCCTACCTACGGGCATTTTCTAAGAAAAAACCACTTACGTCATAGAATCGTGAGATTATAGACTTCTCCAGTAATTTCCAGAACCATCCCAAAGTTTTGCCAAGTTCAGGAAATTTGATCACCAAAAATGATGCCAATTTAGCTGTATTGCCAATATTTCGCCAAGTTTCCATTGAAACGCTATCTTTATGTAGGGGACGGGACGGTATTGTGATTCTGTCAAGGTGCAGAAGCAAAGACAGAATAAAATATTAGTACAATTTGGAGGAAAAGGTTATATATATATATAGATATATGAAATAGACGTGGCGTTGCAATGATTCTTTAATAATATGATCGCTATTGTTGATGGTTTCTTTTGGCTGGGATGACGAAGCGTCCGGTGATTGATTAAAACTTGTTTATTATCCATCTTGAACACATAAGACATTACAAGAACGACACAATACACGCACACAAAACAAGCTGCAGCCGGCTGCATGTTTTACGCAGACAAAATACAGAAGCGAAAGAGAGTTGGTCTCCAGGAATCTCGGTATTTATAGGCCGCTCAAATCACATGATCTGAGTGGGTAGCTAGATGTAGTTCAAAATATTCTCGTTAGGCGGATGGTTAACTTATTACTAAAATATTGGTCCTGAAGGGATGGACCATTGACAATTAAAAGATATTTAAAAGGATTATATTAGTGGGAATTATTACATATATATATATAGGAACATTGTTTTTGAAGAGGGATTAAATTGAAGTACAAATAAGAATGCGAAGAGGAAAATTTAAAATTTGTTTTTTACCTGCGTACAATATTTTGAAAAAAAAAATAGAACTACATAATACATGTAAATTACAGTTTTACACAATGTAAGCAAGGAGTATGAATAGAGTTGCATTATCTGTACAATGGGGGGGTTGGTCCACCCAATAGGGGGCAGGGTGGACCCTCCCTCGTATATTATAAGTAAAATTTTTGCAATATAACTATATTGGTTTGCTCCTTGACAAAAAATTCTCAGATATCCTCATAGTTTAACGTGTTATTTGTTCAACTAGTGCATTGATTTTTCTCTTATATTAATGGTTCGACTAAGTAGCGCACACAAAAAATTTTCAAGAGGAGGGGGGGGGGGGGTCCATGGTCGAAAATCCCCCAACTCATATTATACCTCAATAACAACACCAATTGAGTCATGATTTTTTTTTGTCGATTCTGCTAACAAAAAACAGTAAAAAATAAATTATTGAATTAATAATTTTGCATTAATTAATAAAATAAAATGTTAATTATATATACAAGTACTTAATTTAATTTCACGTTACATGTATAGGATTATCGTCAATAGAAAAAAAACTCAAGGACTTTGGGGAGGGGTCCGGACCCTTAGGATAGACCCCTTGTGTCGCCACTGGTTCGACTATATTTATTTCGAATTTACCTAATAAAATAATTTAAATAAACGTATAAAAAATTTCTGATGCGTTAATATTATTTATTATTCATAAATATTAGAAATTAATTTTTCCTTTAAAAAATACTATTAAAAATGCAGTTTTGAATTATATGAAACATCTTTCGTTAGTTTCCTCGGACACGACACTTATATAGATAAATACACTTTCAAATGATTTGAAACAAATTTGCCTTTCAGTAATTACTTAAGTAATCTATTAGGAAACTAATGACATTGAACATTGACGGATTACTTTGCATAATGTTTACGACACCACAGAATGTATCCTAGATTACATCATGAATAGTAAAATATGTCCTCAAGAATCCTGACTCTCATTCATTACTATCTCTAATTATCCTTGAATTAGAATTACTAATGAATCGTGGTGTTTCAAACCTAAATAACTTTTTTATAGCCGTTGGTTTCATATCCTAGATGTAATTGATAAACTTATACAGAACAGAGATTGAGAGGATTGAAAAGATAACTATACCTATATTTCGTTACATAAAATAAATGTGTAGAAAATAACCATTTTTTTTCTAAATATATTGTACAAACTGAATTTCAACCCTCTGTCATTGATAACTTCAAGATTTGTTTTATTAGACATTATAACAAAAGAGAAAAAAGTAAAATGCATGTATTTATGGATTTTTTAATTTCTTTTTATTATTTATATGAGAAAAAAATTACAAAAGCAGGGAGTGTTGTGTTGAGGCAACACTGAATTAAGGGGCCAAAATCTATAGTTCGGCAGCACATGCCGCGAAAGTTTGAAATTTCGGAAGCAATTCTTGGTTTTCGTGTTGCCTAAGGTTACACGAGCATTCATGCAGCAGTTTTCTAATGCTTTGCGGGTAAATCCAACACACTTCGGTTCCAACACTAAGTTATGTGCTTAAGGAACGGAAGATACCAAGAAGGAATTTCCTTCATTGGTGACCCGGACGTGATATGAACACGTAGCCTTCTGATCTGAAGTCAGAAGCTCTATCATTGCTCCCAGGCCATCTCGCACAAATGACGCAACCAGCAAGCCGTCTCACAAAAAATGACGCAACCTTCAAGCCGTCACAACCTAATGACGCAATAACTCACACGCTCGCCGTAACAACGATATCATTTCGTTCGCCTACCGACTCACTGGTAGGGGAGTGTGTGGTGATTGTATCTATATAAGCCAGTAACCACCTCCGAACTGAATTTATCATTATGGTTCAGCGGTAAGTTATGTGCTTAAGAAACGGAAGGTATCCAGAACGAATCTCCTTCACCCTTGTAGCGCCATCTAGTTTTTTTCTTCGGTACCAATTCGTTACCGGAGTGTAGACCAAGGGCTATAGTATGTATTTACTTTTGAAATTAATTGTATGAATTGGACAGACGATCGAATGTTATGTTGTCTACAGAATACCACAAAGGATTAAAAGTTGCACTTATATTATTAAAATTATTTTTTCTAAAGATCTATTATTTATATGAGGAAAAAATATGGACGCGAAGTGCTCCTTTCAAGTTTGATTTAATGGTAAAATTTGTATAAAAAATACTTTTCCAAAAACATTTTTTTTCTAATGGGCTGCGGATTGGTGTCTTACCATTGCAGACCTAGTACATTTCCCGGAAGCTGGTATCCCTTTTTAGTGCGGCACCCTATAGGCAGATACCAATTGCCGCAGGTAATTTTGACGCCCAATTTCCTCTCTAGAGGGAGGCACCTGAGCTCTGACGATGAGAGCTTGTACTAGGATTTAATTTTGCCGAGAGCACCCAAGCCAAACAGACACTCTAGGGATCTTTTACAGGCCGTATAATCATATGACATGGTCGTTATTGATTTTCTGCACCATGAAAATCCACCGACTTGGGGGCCGTGGTCAAACCCGCAACCTTAGGTGACGAAGGCCAGTGATAAACCAACCATGCCACTCTCATCAATGTTCCAAATAACTAAAACAATTACTTAATTATTCTTCTGAAATTATTTATGTTAATATTAACTGTACCATCAAATGCATGCTACTAAATGAACTATTCAGACCTTAACCACTACGAAACAATTCTCAAAAATTCTAATTCACGTTCATTAGCAATTCTAACTGTCATGAAATTAGAATTACCGAATGGGAATTGTGGTTAAAGTCCCAAACAGCCCTTTCGCGACCATTATTACCATCTCTGAGACCTAACGGACTCTATTTAAATCAAAGTTAGGGACATCCTCCCAGATTTATAAAATATTCAGCGAACAGATTCGCCTTAGTAAGACGTCGACAATACCTTGATTCTTCCATAAGTCAGCTCTTGAGGATCTAGAAAATAAATTGATTCTTCCTCTGCAGTCCAGAATGATCAGGGACATGTCAGGGATCCCTTTGGGGGTTATGGAAACTAATCTGGGCCCTCTCAAGGCCACTCCGCTTCCCTAATCCCCACTCATCGTTTGTTACACCCCTCCCCCTCAGACCCCTCCACGTTCTTTTGTGCTACTTGCATCCTTTTCTCCGCCCCAGGAAACAGGGCGGAATGACTCTCAGGATGGGGCGGAAGATATATCTCCATGCAAATGTATTAGAAGCAGGGGCTGATTGTGGATAGGGGGTGGTCGGGGAAGGATTTTGGCCATGACTTAGGGGCTCGAGGGTTGACATGTGTTTTATAGCAAAGTCGCGTTCTGAATTATGTTGCCAACGTAGACACTAGGGCGCTTTTGTAACGAGAAATTAAGTGTTGTGGCTGTGTATTATGAGAAATGCATTAACTCCTTAATGTGTGTCTTGAAGGGCAAAAATTGTAGAGAATAAGCTTGGTTTCATCGTTAATAATAACGCTTTAAAGTAGGCTCCTTTCTGCGTAACAAACGGAAAGGAAAACTCAGTTTATGCCAGAATTTTTTTTTCCAGTTTTCTGGACATTTTTTTTTCTGTTGCCAGTTATGGTTTATTTATCAATTTGTGTTGGCATTTAAAAAATGAGAATTGTATGGCTAGTGAAATACATACTCGTGGTGTTTTTTTCCCTAGGGGATTTTACATTTATTATATATATATAAAATAAATAAAAGTGTAAAAAGTAAAATAAAAATGTTTGTGGAATTGAAAGGTTTAAATGCGATAATTTTTCCAGTTTGTTAGGAATTTTAAGAGATGAAAAACTTAATAGTGAAATACCTGGAAGAATGGACTGTATGTAGTAATTATTGGAATTTAAATAATGCACACTTGTAAATCTAATAATAAATATCACTCATAAATTTTTAGCTCAAATCTGTTTTATTAAAAAATAATTGAACTTTTTAATGTTTTTATTAGTGCAAAATGAAAGTACATAGTTTAAAACTATTAGATGACTGAACAATAAAAATACTGTGCAGATAAATAATAATTCATTTAATAATTTGAAAATAGGTATATACACAAAAAAAATTTGTATGAATTTTTTTAAATGTTAATAGTTGTGAATGTATTATTAAAAAAAAGCTCTGTTAGAATTTATAAATGTTATGATGGACTGGATACATAATTCAACGGAAAATTTATTTTTCAAAAAAGTATTAAACTGTTAAGATTCTGATTAAAAGACACATTACAATATAATTTCAGAAAAAGGTGAAGTAGAAACTTTTAGGAGAAAATAATGCAAATGAAAAATATTTTAATATTTTTTATAATTTGATTAATAATATACAATATAAAAATATTAAATAAAAAAATTGAAAAATCTTTAATAGATAAAATAACTTATAAATTAGTAAATAAGTTTTTTATGTATGTTAAACACTGCGTATTTTGCGTTTCGGATAAAATTTCTGTAACTTTTTTTGAACAATGTAAATGCTTTTGGCAGCAGGACTAAATAACATAACAATTTATATAATTACTAGCTGTTACCCGCCCGCTTCGCTGGGTATTTCATGATGTTTTATAAATTTTTACTGCTTATATATATGTATAAATTATTGATATCTAAGTCCTAGCATTAAGAATTCGATTGAATTGAAAAATATACTTATACCTGTAACTGTCACCTGTTGATAAAAAAAAGGGCAGAACTCATCTAATTTGTATTTTCTAAAAATCTCTAAATTTGAAGCTTAGAATGATGTTTGCTCTTTCGTAACTCAAAAACCAAGTGGATTCCCGCAAAACCAATTTTCGGTGGATCTCTACTCCGTAAATTAAACATGCAAGCCAAATTTCAAGTCTAAATCTAACAGAAAAAAGCAAACGTTTTACTATAAATATCCCCGTAATCCCGTTGAGAGCCGTTTTCCAAAATTACTGCTCTTAGAGGATTTCAATTCAACAAAAGAAAAATGCAAACCAAATTTCATTATTATAGTCCTTGTAGCTCGAAAAAAGTAATGTTTTTTGTCAATATGTCCCAGTAACCCGCTGCAACCCCCCAGAACTTGATTTGCTTGAAATTTATTCTTAGTGGTTCCCTATTCAACAAAAGAAACATGCTTAACAAATTTCAAGTATATGGGTCTAACAATTAAAAACAGGAATTTTTTTCTGTAACTCCTCTTGACCCCTCGCAAACATCTTTGGGGGTCAATTTTCATTTTACTCTTTGTTAGAGGAACTCTATTTCATGAAAGGAACATGCCTACCAATTTTCAAGCAGGATGATCAAGTAGTTTAAAAATGGAAATATTTATCGATTACGCCTCTTAATCTCCCGAAATTAAACTTGGTAGTTGATATTCGCGAAACCCATTTTGTAGCGGTTCTCTACTTTACGAAAGGAATCTGCTATCAAATTTCAAGACTGTACGTCTAACAGTTTAAAAATGGGGATAATTGTCTATAACGCCACTTGAGCCCCCGCAACGCCACTTCTGGGTCTGTTTTCACAAAACCCATTTTGTAGGGGAATTGCACTGTATGAAAGGAATCTGCTTAGCAAAATTTGAAGACTGCGTCCAATTAATTAAAAAGGCAAAAAAATTATCAATAACGCCCCTTGAACCCCCGCAACACCACCTAGGGGTCGATTTTCACAAAAACACATTTTGCAGTGTATTTCTATCCTATGAGAGGAATCTGCTAACCAAATTTCAAGACTGTGAGTCTAATAGTTTAAAAAAAGAAATAATTATTTATATCTGCCCTTAACACCCCTTGGGGGTCAATTTTCTCAAAACCCGTTTTGTAGCGGATATTTACTCCATGAAAGAAACATTCCTACCAATTTTCAAGCAGGTAGGTCAAATAGTTTAAAAACGAAAATATTTATCTCTTACGCCACTTATTCCCCTGCAACGCCACTTAGAGGTCTGTTTTCACAAAACCTTCTTATAGCTGATCTCTACTCTATGAAAGAAATCTCTTTATCAAATATAAAGACTGTGCGTCTAATAGTTTAAAAATAGAAATAATTATCTATAACGCCCCTTAAGTCCCCTCAACGCCACTTGGGGGCAATTTTCACGAAACCCATTTTTAGCGTATCTCTACCCTATGAGAGGAATCTGCTTACTAAGTTTCAAGACTGTACGTCTAATAACTTAAAAAAAGGAATTTATAGCGCCCCTTAAACCCCCCGCCCCCGCAACACCCCTTGGGGGTCAATTTTCCCAAAACCCATTTTGTAGCGGATATTTACTCCAGGAAAGAAACTTACCTACCAATTTTCAAGCAGGTAGGTGAAGTAGTTTAAAAACGGATATATTTATCTATTACGCCCCTTAATCCCCCGCAACGCCACTTAGAAGTCTATTTTCACAAAACCCGTTTTGTAACTGATCATTATTCTACGAAAGGAATCTATATATCAAATTTAAAGACAGTGCGTCCAATAGTTTAAAAATGGAAATAATTATCTATAACACCCCCTATGCCCCTGCAACGCCACTTGGGGGTCGATTTTCAGCAAACTCATTTTGTAGCGGATCTCTACTCTCTGAAAGGAATCCGCTTACCCAATTTCAAGATTGTACATCAAGTAGTTTACACATGGAAACAATTATTATTAAAGCCATTAACCCCCCGTAACGCCCCTTGT